TTTCAATTGAAATTCATACAAAATAACCTTTCTTTATGTGTACTCTACTTTATCGTGTACAGAAAATACAGTCCTATAATAACAGAAGAAAGGTATTAATACCTTTGTTCTACGAACAGGCATGGCTCGGCTGCAAGCCATCTCTACCGCGGCACACACCTGATCACGCGGACGTTAATGCCGCCACGCTCCACTGGGAGAGCCCCGCCACGCCACCAAAAGGACGCCTGAGCCACCACAGCAGACAAGGGATCCTCAGCCTCCGCCTCCACCGTCGTTGCTGCAAGTCTAGCGGGCATAGATTTGTTTCCACTTGCAAGGGATATCCAATTTAGGTCAACCTGTAGGGCATCCACACAGCCAATAGGATACTGTAGCAACTCCAAAGAGATATCAGCACAACCAAACGTCTAGCGCAATGGTAAAGACGTTCCATTCCTTGGTTCAAATCTTGGGTTTGGCTCCCAGGTATCAGACCTTTTTTTGAGAAATTAAACCCCGATGGCCCATAGGTCGGATGGAGATGGAGAAAGGTCTCATAGGTACATGTGACACGTAAGCCATCGGGTCTCATAGGTCGGATGCAGAAGGGTCCCATAGGTACGTGTCAGATGGAGAAAGGACCGAGCGGAGACTTTTATGATGAATTGCAAGCGTCAAGTGACACGCAAGTCGTCGGGTCCCATAGGTCGGATGGAGATGGAGAATGGTCCCACAGGTACACGTGACACGTAAGCCATCAGGTCCCACAGGTCGAATGCAGAAGGGTACCGCAGGTACATGCCGGATGGAGAATGGACCAAGCGGAGACTTTTATGACGAATTGCAAGCGTCATGGATGAGTAACTGCAGGTTCCACAGGTATACGTCGGATGGAGAATGATCCCACAGGTATACGTCGGATGGAGAAAGGACCGAGCGAGAGACTTTATGACGAATTGCAAGCGTCACGGATGAGTAACTGCAGGTCCCATAGGTACACGTCGGATGGAGAAATGACCGTGTGGAGATTTATGACAAAGTGCCATTCATTATAGATCGAAAACTTTATCATAAATGTGTAATTAGTTCAATGACGAAACCCTAGTCGTCACAGTTCTAAAGTGGATTGTCACGGATGAGCAGGAACAGTCGCGTGAGGTTTTATGGTGACGAACCCCGTGCTGTTCTATGACGTTTTTGCGTGACAATGCCTGATTTTGTCATAAATAAGGAGTGTTAGAGGATAGTCACCACTGATCTATGACGAAACGTAAATATTCGTCATAAAAAAACGATCTTCTACGATAGTTTTGGATTTGTCATTAAGATTTTTGTCATTAAGATTTTCGTCATAGAAGTGGATATTTCTAATAGTGTGTTGTAGATTCTTAGATGTTTATGGGCAGACAAAATAATTCAGCCTCGTGTCAAAATGTTCGTGTGGAGGCTTCTCAGACTCACCCTTGGGACAGCTTCCAGGATCCACAGGATTATTTTGACGGTTGATGAGCATTGCTCTCGTTGTGGGAGGCCTGAAGACGACAAACATCTTTTCTTTGATTGCAGCTTCGCTCGAGCGGTATGGTTTGCTTCACCTATTGGCCTTAGAGCTGATGCCTTACCCAAGAAGGCCATGGACTGCATTCTCAGATTGCCACCATCAGGCCCGGCCCTGGGGCAGGGCGAGCGGGGCACACGCTCCAGGCCCCTGACGCCAAGGGGCCCATTAGCGGAGGTATGTATTCTGTATACGTATTTTATTTAGTTGAGCACAGAACGTCATAGCATCGTCCATCAATACTCGGATATTGCTTGTACTGGTAGATACGTGCTGGTTGCCGACTTGCCCTACTGCACTATAATCTATCTTTTAATCTTTCAATCTTTAGAACTGAGATTTGGGATCCACGAGTCATTTCTAGTGTTTATTGCAAGATCAACGATTGGCACAGCCAAAGGCCACAGCAAGCCTAATCGTATGAGGATGTTTATGTGATTCATTGAGCGTTTCCTCGTCATTAAGACATTAAGTTGCAGGTTTTTGCTCCGTTGTAAGTTGTTTTTAGTTCGTCTTAAGCCAAACTCTAACAAGCTTACAAATCTACTAAGTAAAAAATCTACTAAGTATTATTACTACTAGTACTATGTTTATGTTCAGAGGCCCTGCTTGCCAGTTTCGCTCCAGGTCTGTGAAAACTCAGGACCGGCGCTGGCCACCATATTGCAGCAAGGGCCATCTCAAGTTACTACAGGTATTATTTTCTCCATCATGTGGTGTTTATGGAAAGCTCGTAATGACTACAGATTTAATAGCTTAAATTGGTCGGTTGAAAGAGTGTTGCAAGAGGCAAAGGCCATTGATGGGGCTTACACTCTTGCATTTCAAGAAGAATCTACTCCACAAGCTACTACAATTCCTACCGTTGTAGAAGCTTCTCATTTTGCTACCCTGCAGATTCATGAAGGTCCTAAAATCTTTTGTGATGCTTCTGTTGACTCTCAAAATCTAGTTGCAGGCAACCAAACTGGAATTTGAGTTCTCATCATCACTCAACCTGCTAGAAGCATTTCCCATGCTTCTCTTTTTTTCAGGTAGCGACTAAGCAGGTCTTGGAACCCTTGGAGGCTGAAGCTCACGCCCTCCTTTTTGGTGCTAGCTGTCGCGCTCGATCTTTGGAATGCAGCTTTGTTAACTGATAATCAGGTGGTGGCATCCGCCGTGCTTGCTGGATCGCCACGTTCTCATCCTGGGCATTGGTTGCTGCATCCTATTATTGCTGAAGTGCAGGACATCAAGCAAGCAAAAAGCTATTCGGTGATCAAAATTGGTAGACAAACAAATAAGATTGCTGATGCTTTAGCAAAACGGGCAACCATCCCGACTTCGTGCTTTTTCTCTTGCCAAGCACTTGCTCATTCTCCAACATGTAATATCAAGCGTGTACTAGAAACCTTCGTTTGGGGTAACATGATCCCCATCTCTGTAACCTGTCTATGCAATGAAAGTTTTAAATTTTCAAAAAAACCCTCATTGATGCCCTACGGGTTTTACCATGTGCATTGTGCCCCGTGCAAGAAGTTAATGCCGCACAGCGCACTGATAAACGGACGGTGTGCCTTCTGCAAGAAATGGCGAATGGCTAAAAGTTCATAAAGAACCACTATCATAAAATTATCCAAAGTATCAAATATACACCACACAAAGCTAGATCACGAGAAATGGTGAAAAACTGAAATTATCCAAATATATACTCATTGTGATTCAGCATCCTGAATTTGAAAATGGATGATGCCAACAATCACCATTGGATATGAATTTGAAATGTGTACAGGTACCGAAGGAATACATGGATGACGGACACGAGGACGGCGCGGGAGGGTGTCAGCGCGGCACGGTAGGAGCGGCAGGCGGCGCGGAGGGCGAAGAAGTCCTGGAGCGTCATCAAGTGCCGAGCGATGTCCGGTATGAGCTCCGCCGGTTGGTACGGCGCCGCGGCGGCGAGGCGCTTGTCCGCGGCCATCTGATGGGAAGGAAGGATTGCGAGCTGGGGAAGCAGGCGGCGACGGCGGTGGCGATGTCGCCGGATCCAAGGAGTGATTATTCTATTGGTGGTCTGAACTAAGTCTGAACGGAATGACACCGTGATTTGTTAGAGCAAGTAGTAATACTACGAGCGGCGGTTAGTTGTATCAACACTTACAACTTTGAATAGAATTTAGGACACTAAGTGATGAATGACGTGGACATCTTGCATAAAGAGATAAAATATCTAGTGAAGTTTAGCTTTATAAGAGTATATAGATACATAGTATGTATATTTGCGTTTTACATGAACGTCCAATAGTTTATTTTTTTCTATTGCAACACAAGAGCATGTTTGCTTGTCAGAAGACGTGGTGATAATGAACCTAGAGAAAAACCGCCTCATTTTATTTGTTTATTAAAATAAATGAAGCCTAACCACTTCTTTGGATATATCAAAGGCTAAGAAGGTTGTTCGCATCACACATACACCCTTTGTCCTCTTCTGTTCCAAATACAGTATCACTTTAGAAATATATACTTCTTCCATTCCAAAAAAAGAGTGTCAATATAGAAAACATGTATTCCTCCTTCCGTTCCAAAAAAAGAGTGTCAATATAGAAAACATGTATTCCTCCGGCTGATGGTTTCTGTAGCTAATAAACCGACTAAAGCTAATTTATCATAAGAGAAAAATAGCGTTCTATGACTCATAAGTTAAAGCGAACAAGATATAAGTTTATAGAAATAATAGCAACATTTGTATTTTCATATAAACTTATTATGAAAATATATTTAACGATTTGGCTAATGATACTAATTATGCATCATAAATATTAATATTTTCTTATATGTTTTTAATCAAAGTTAAAAATATTTAACTTCTCAAAAAACGAGAATAACACTCTTTCTAGGATAGAGGGAATCCGGGGCATCTTTGGCTAAATTTAAAAAAAAAACTTTTTTGGGGCAAGCCACGTGCATGACTGCAACACCAGGGTTTGAATCATGACAAGTTGTTGCACAAGGTTCGCAAGAAAAAACAAACGACAGCAACCATTATTACAATATGGAAGGAAATCTTATGAAGAGACTTTGAAATGCTATACATGAATTGAGGCTCGTTACGTATTCCCGGATATAGGATAGGTACAATGTCTTTTGATTGATTAAGTGCTTGGGCACATGACAGTCTTGTAGCTGGGTGACCTTGTCAAATATACTTACGGTGGATTGAAGATGTTGAGAGCCTGCAAAAACAAAAATCCGGGAATGAAACAAAAGCCAAGAAATGTATTGGTAAAAACCTTTTCCTACCATGATTTCGGTTAATACACTAAAGACTCTACTCTGAGAACCAGGTGTTAAAGACTGATTTACTCCTTATATCACCAAGAACTCACATGGATGTATCAAGAAAGATAGCTGCAGAAATAAATGGTCAAACAGATCATGGTATCTATAAGAGTCCCAAAGAATTTTACCTTGTATTCACCTAACAAGTTGCTGTTAAGAAGTTCATGATGTAGGCTTCTGCAAGCATTTTGCCAAGCTTTACTTGTGACTCGGTGGTAAGATGCAAGTTGTCTTCCTTCAATGCCATACCCATCGGATCGACAGTTACAACATTGGGCAGGTTAACACTAAACTGAGCATTTCTGACTTTTTCAATGTTCCTTTTATTCCCAGATGCAAGAGCAACCTGCTCAGATCATAATAAACAATCTTGATATAGCAAAAAGGTACTAGACATTGCCAGTGGTATCTAGGAAAATAAAGGATGATTGCTTAATGCGAAAAGGGCTAACGTATCAATAGTGAAATCAATTCCTGTTTTACTTAAACAATACAATTGCAAATTCTAGTGTTTAAATACTATAAGTAGCAAGTAAAAAGCATTACTTTACCAGTTAAGAATTGAACATTTTTCTTTATAGCAGGATGAAACAATTTGATGGCACACTACAGAATATGAGGAAAAAATTATGTGTCAAAGTCAAAATGATGAGGAATTCTTTATTTCAGAAAATGTTCAAAAGCTACTAAAGATTCAAAGATGAACCTATGACACTGTGCAAGCTGCTTGAGTCCTGCATAAGATTGCACTGTTTAGCTGTACTGTATTTTTATCAATTCCAATGTTTTGATTGGCATTCTAAGTATCATCTTGAAATGAATTTAATTATTTTTGCTATAACTCTATATATGGTTGGGGATAGGTTTACATGTAACTACTGCCTCCACTCACAAAGAGTAAGACACTGATACAATCCCAAAACACAGCATTCACTACTAATCTGCACTATATTTACAAATTGTACATGATTATGAAAGACGATTAGACAACATATCTGTACCATTTTCAAAAGTTCAATCTCAATGTACACAAACCAATTGATGAAGGTCGATAGGTTGACTGCACGCAACCCAAATTGTCAGATTGCAGGTTCATTTTCAAAAGTTCAATCTCAATGTCCACAAACCAATTGATGAGCTTTGATAAGGTTGACTGCTTGCAACCCAAATTTTAACCCCCACAATTCACTATTTGGCCAATGAGAGCTAACCTGGTTTATGTTCATGATAAAATATAGATTGCTAGCTATTGGCATCTAAACCTACCTTAATTTTTCAAAACTGAAAACTGAAGAAAACATCCAATACCTACTCACCTCATGCGTGCTGCCTCAGGATTTTTGGTTCAGAGTTCTGGAGCCGTTAGGTTTTCAGACATGTGTGCCGAATAGTAATGAACAAACTTTCGCAGATTGGTGGCGTAATATCAACAGGCGAGTTCCAAAGGAGAAAAGGAAGGGCATCAACACGGTGGTTGTTTTATGAGCTTGGCTACTTTGAAAGCATAGAAAATCTGTTGTTTTTTTAAGGAAACAGCCCAACTTTGAGTGTTATTCTTCGGTCATTCAGGTCGAACGTCACCTTTGGTGCTTCGCGGGAATGCGAGGTCATGGAACTTTAGGTCAAGCTGTTGCTGCGTGGTCAGGTCCGGCCTTTTTTGTATGTATACTTTTTGCTTAATCATGTAACATCAAAGCCTCCTACAGCTTGGTCTGGAGTAAGGAGGTTTGTTTTGTAAGGGACCGTTTTTTTCATCTCTTAAAACAAAGATACACAGCTCTCCTGTGTATTTGAGAAAAAAAAATGATTTCAATAAACAATCTAATGAATGGAGAGGATCATGAGCCAAGAGATTGAAGGATCCCCCTGTGATAGACAATAGCCTAACAGGCTTGGATTCCTTAAATAGAGTTTACAGGAGAGATTACATATATAAAGAGAGGAGGAGGGTGACCCAAAGGGCCAGCCGAGTCCCAAGAGGCCAGCCGAACCCCAAGGGGCCAGCTAGGCATTAACTCAGCACAGCTAGCTAGGAGATTACACAAGTAACTAGGTGATTAAAGTAAATAGCAATATTAATTCTAACACCCCCCGCAATCGATCGATCGTCGGTGGAGCGAACGTTAGACTGGGCGAAAATCCATGAAGATAGAGGAAGGGAGCCCCTTGGTGAAGACATCGGCGAATTGCGACGTGGTGGGCACATGAAGAACCCGGACTGCACCCATGGCGACACATTCACGGACGAAGTGAAGGTCGATTTCCACGTGCTTGGTGCGCTGATGTTGAACGGGGTTGGTGGAGAGGTAGCAGGCGCTGACATTGTCGCAGTAGATGAGGCATGCGGAGTCGAGGGGATGGTGAAGTTCTTGAGCAGATTGATTGCATGACCAAGTGGCTTCAAATGACGACGTTGGCAACAACAGCCCGGTGATCTCGCCTCGGCGGCTGGAACGGAGACGATGGGCTGCCGCTTGGAGGACCAGGAGACCAGGCTGCCCCCGAGGAAGACGGCGTAGCTGGAGGTGGAGCGGCGGGTGTCCGGGCAGCCGGCCCAATCAGCGTCGGTGTAGACACAGAGCTATGTTGGGGCTGTTCGGGGAATGACCAGACCATGGTTGAGGGTGCCCTGAAGATAGCGAAGGATCCGCTTGGCAGCGACAAGGTGAGTTTCCCGCGGATCATGCATATGAAGGCACACTTGTTGGACGGCATAGGCAATGTCGGGCCTGGTGAAGGTGAGGTACTGGAGGGCACCCACAAGGCTGCGATAAGCAGTGGGATCGACAATGAGACGGGCGGCATTGGTGGTACCTTTGCACAAGTGTCAAGCTGGAGTGGAGCAAGGCTTGCGATCACTCATGCCATGGCGAGTAAGTATGTCGAGTGTCTCGTATTTGTGAAAGGAGAACAGAATCCTTGTGGTCTTTGAATCGCAACACCAAGGAAGTGATGTAGCGGTCCAAGATCTTTCATGGCGAACTCCTTTTTTGAGCAAACAATGACACGGTGAAGGAGTTCTTTGAGATGAAGCCGTAAGGACAATGTCATCCACATATAAGAGCAAGTAGACTGTCTCGGTGCCACGGCTGAATATGAAGAGAGATGTGTCTGACTTGGCTTCAGTGAACCCCAAAGAGATCAGAAAGGAGGCAAAGCGGCCGGATGCAGGGCCATGGGCTTGCTTCAAGCCGTAGAGGGATTTGTTGAGTCTCTGAGACATGATCCGGAAGTGCGGGATCGGCCGAACCCGGTGAGGGTCGAGAGCGATATCATTTACGAAAGAGTCCGTGGAGGAAAGCGTTCTTCACGTCAAGTTGATGAATCGGCCAATCCACAGGTGTGCCACCGTGATGATTGTCAACAAACGGTGGTGGCTTGACAACCGGTGAAAGTTTCATCATAATCAACAAGGCGTTGAGTGAATCCCGAAGTACCCAATGAGCCTTGTATTTCTCCAATGAGCCATCGGCATAGAACTTGTGTTTGAAAATCCATTTTCCAAAGTAACAACATTGGTCGTGGGGGGGCGGGGACGAGGTCCAGTGTGGTTGTCTGAAGAGCCGCATATTCATCTTCCATGGCTCGACGCCAATGAGGATCGACAAGGGCATCTCGGCAGGACGCGCGGTAGGGGAGACAAGGCCTCGGTATGCAAAGCGGCGAGGCGAGGCTACCGGTAGCTCTGCTGTTTTTCCACAGGTCGCCATGCCGTGGGAGTTGGCGGCCGCGTGAATGGAAACTTGACACCACCGAGGATCGGAGGATCGCTCTTGACATAGCGAGATGGAGAGGGACCATCTTTGGAAGCGTTGAGGCGCTCTCGCTGGGCGCTCGGGTGGCGAGGCAGGGAGAGGGACACGCCGCTTCTTTGTGAGACATGAATAATAGGCGGCTTCGAGGCGCAATCACCGGGGGGGGCGCGTCGGTTTATGAGAGCGTGGACGACAGGTGGAGCCGGCGCTGTCTGAAGGACGTCGGGGACCCCCGGACCTGGCCGGTGGTGCCGGGGTGGAGAGTCTTTGGCAAGCACCGGGGCCCTGACGCCTTGGCGTGCCTCTGCGATGCAGAGAGATGGTGCCAGAGGCACCAAGCGGAAAGGGGCAGCAGCGGCCGGGTGTACTGCGCAGGAAGGGGAGACTTTGGAATGGTGTCGTCGTCGGTGAGAAAATCAAGTTCTGGCCGAGGAGGGATGGCGGTGAGGAAAAAGGAAGCGTTGTTTCGTCGAAAACAACGTGGCGAGAAATGATGACGCGGTTGGTGTTGAGGTCGAGACACCGATAGCCTTTGTGATCCGGTGAATAACCAAGGAAAGCACAGAGGGTGGAGCGGGGGCAAGCTTGTGAGGAGTGGTGGCGAAAGGTTGGGGTAGCATGTGCACCCAAGGCACGAAGATCATGATAGGAGGGAGGGTGCCATGGAGGTGAAAAAGGGGTGCTCATGTTTAGAGTTTTGGTGGAAAGGCGATTGATGAGATAGGTGGCGTTGGCTAGAGCATCAACCCGGTGAAGAGGGGGCATGGAAGCTTGGAAGAGGAGGGCGTGTGATGTTATTGTGGTGCTGAATCATGCGCTCGGCTTTCCGCTTTTCTTTGGGAAGTAGAGGGCACGACATGCGGAGAGTGATGCCGTGAGCAAGAAAGAAAGCACGAGAGGCGGAGTTGTCAAACTCGCGACCGTTGTCACATTGGACTGATTTAATGGTGCAGCCGAATTGGGTAGACACATGAGCGAAGAAATTAGAAATCATCGGGAAAGTGTCGGACTTAGCGCGAAGGGGGAAAGTCCAGAGGAAATGAGAGCAATCATCAAGAATAACTAAATAATATTTGAAACCAGAGACAACGACAATGGGAGATGTCCACAGCCACAATGGATTAAATCAAAATTCTTGGTTGCTCTAGATAGCGAAATAGAAAAGGGAGGCGAATATGGCGCCCAAGTCGACAAAAGGCGTGGCGAGAGGAGTCATCTTGAAGCTTCTTGCTGCAGACAATGGAGGAGGACTATGCAAGGGGATGAAGAGTGGCCTTTGCGGGGGGTGACCGAGGCGCTGTGTGCGGTGGTTGGTGAAGGAGTGGCGACAAGGGGCGAGGAGCCATGGTGGATGAAGGAGTGAAGAGTGTAGAGAGGCCCGTCTTTGTTACATCGGAGGAGGGTGTTAAGATGCGAAGATCCTTCACGAAACACCAAGAGGTCAAACTCATGTAAAAACACAATTGTCGATGGTAGTGAATTTTGAACCGAAAGGAGATTTTTAATAATGTCGGAAGCTACAAGGACATTGTCGGCGAAAAGGTCCGGGAAGGGCAGAATAGCGGTGCCAATAATGGGGGAGGGTGGCCCGTTGCCTCACGACAATGGAGGGAGGAAAGGAAGAGAATGGTGTAGCGGTGACCATACCGAGGTTGGTGGTGATGGGAGGAGGCGCCAAGTCGATCACCCAATCCGAGGAACTCGGTGGTGGGGTGAGGGAGACGGTCTTGAAAGCGCTAGTGAAACCCTCAAGGCGTCCAGGCGCCTGCAAGGAGGAGGTGCTCGAGGGGGTGCGGGTAGTAGGACCGGAAGCCGGTGGTGGAGAGAAGTATGCCGGTGGCACGCCGGCCACCAGAGCCTATTGCAGAGGTGCAGTGCGGATCAGCAGCGTGGTGGAGGGTTACCAGGCGCCGCGCCGGGTGTGGACCCCGCCACATGTGGATAGAGCCGGTCCGGGGTTGAGCAATGAGGGCCTTGTGGTGTGGGTGGTGCGATCCATACATGCCTCTTTGTGGGAGCCGCTAGAACCGCACCCTACCAGCGGCGGCGTCGCCGCGGTTGCCAGCTGGAATCTTGCCCAAGAAGCTGAGATGATGATGGCGATGCTTCGATGATGGCGTCGAGGCGCAGCGATGACAAAGTGGGCGGCTTGATGGGGGCGCGCAACGAGAGCCGGCGAGAGGAGGAGGGCGTCCCCATGTTGAGCTCGGCCAAAGCGGAGGTCGCCACGAACATCGGCGAAGGGACGGAGCGGCCTCTGGCGGGTGATTGAGATGGGACATGAACCGAAAGCGTTCATTGAGACTCTCGAGAACGTTCAAAGCACCGAGTTCGGTCTGGATGGGCTCGCCGAGGGTCGGCGAGGGCATCCGCCATGCTCTTCATTTTTGCGGAGTAGTCATCGATGGAGAGGCACCTTGGCGAGAGTGCGAAACTTCGACGTCGAGGAGCATGGGCGGGACTCGCGATTGTTGAGGAATCATTGTTCAATCCCGAGCCATCTTTGTCGGGCGGCGGTGAGGCCGTCGTGCTCATGGATGGCGCCCAGAGGTCGGGCGAGATGGTGTTGAAAAGCCAAGAGAGAGGACGACGCGATCCATGCGTGACCACGCCGGATCGTAGGGGCGGGAGTCGTCGCCGAGGACGTGATCCTTCAAGGCGAAATGGCCGAGGATGAGGAGGACGTAGCCGCGCCACTTGGAGTAGTTGGAGGATTGAAGATCAAGAACGATAGGGATGAGGTTCTTGATGTTACGGACGGCAGCGACTTGAGTGTGGAGGTGGGCGGCGATGGCCGCTTGAGAGGAGGCGGAGTGGACGTCGTCATCCTCGGGATCGGTGTCGTCGTCGAGATGCTCAAGCGGAGGCGATCCGGAGGGCCACTACTCTTTGCTCCAGTATCTACTGCCAAGCTCTTTGTCAAGAGCAAGCAATGGCGACGCGGACACGCCGGGCGGCGGCGGCGTGGATTTGAGAAGGGCGACTTCTTCCTCGAGCAGGCTGTCGTTGCGCTCTGTGTTGGTGGAGCATGAGAGGAGGCCTCATCCTCCAGCGCTTAGCGTGAGAGAGGGCTTCGTCGCGGAGCTTGGTCATGAGTAGCCATGGCGGAGGATCGGAGGTGGCCATGCAAGGCATGGCAGCACCTTGGGTGGGTGGAGTGGGGGGAGCGAAGCGAGAAGGATCGATGGTTTAGTGCGATACCATGATAGACAATAGCCTAACAGGCTTGGATTCCTTGAATAGAGTTTACAAGAGAGATTACATATATAAAGAGAGGAGGAGGGTGACCCAAAGGGCCAGCCGAGTCCCAAGAGGCCAGCCGAACCCCAAGGGGCCAGCTGGGCATTAACTCAGCACAGCTAGCTAGGAGATTAAAGCTAGGAGATTACACAAGTAACTAGGTGATTAAAGTAAATAACAATATTAATTCTAACACCCTGGCCTACAATTTGGTTATGGTGGTGTTTTTTGCAACCTTATGACTACAAAATCTGGAGTTAAAGTGCAAAGAACTAGTCAGCAAACATGAGCATTTCTGCTTTTACTACCATAAGGTCAGTCTCAGTGTAGGTTTCCTGGCTTAGTTTCCAACACACTCATATTTTGGAAATAGTGTAGAAGAGTTTCATCCCCATGAAACCCTCTCTACTCCCATGAAACTTTCATCATCTCTCTCTTCATCAATACAGTGCCATGTCAGCATATTTAATGTCCATAAAACTCTATGAAACTCCCATTGAGATTGGCCTAATACCCCCTAAATATGTGGTTTTGGAGAATTCAGTCTTATTATAATTTAGAATGTTGTACATGTGATCCAAATACCACATGGTCACAGCAATTCACACTATGTTATGTTGAACCATGGAGTATGTCTGCTCCATTCTAACAGATATTAACGACAACAAATGGTATAGAGTATAAAAACTTTCGGCACTATGAGAACTAATCAGAAATGGTGGCAATGACTAATCCTGCCTGAAGCACTCAACAATACCCTTCTTCTTTATTATCTTCCAGCCTACCAACCGTTAGTTGAAACCATCTAGATGAATGAAAGATTATACTAAGACTAATGTAAAATTAAGGAAACACGCACACACCATGTCTGTCAATCAAATTTGGTCAAATCCATGACAAAAACCTTGCTAGAACGAGAAACAACCACAAGAAGGATGTTAGGAGCAGGAAAAAGACCATCACCTGAATAAAGGGTAACTGCGGCATCCCAAGATCCGCCCTGACATTACCGATGAGCCTCTCGACGTTCTCCAAGTAGGCACCCGTGTCGGCATCGGAATCGGCGTCGCTCTCCCCCTGGTACCACAACACGGCCTCGATCTCGCCGTACCCGGCCGCGACGCGCGACCGGCATACCATCTGCTCGTACAGGTGTTCCCCGCGAGACCACTCCCTGATGGCCGTCCCGCCAACGGCGCACGGCACGAGCCCGATCCCGGTCCGGGTCCCCGCGCCGGGGGTGTCCTCCTGCAGGCGCGGGAGCACAGCGCGGGCGAAGGCCATCCCGGGCCCGATGCCGCAGGTCTTGGTGGTGTCGATGTCGGCGTGGAGCGGCTCGCGGGCTTCCTCCCACTGCAGGGCCGCGGAGAGGCGGAGGATAGACGGATCCGGCGCGCACTCCGGGGGCACCACGCCGTCCCAGTGCCGGCGGTGCACGCCGCCGCGACCGGACATGTTACTCTGCCCGGACAGCACGAAGATACGCATGGCTGGTACGGCGCTGCGGGGGCGGGGAGATGTGAAGACCGCGTCTGCCCGATGTGAGGAAGATCTTTTTGATCTCACGATCTGAGGAAGATCTGGCCTTGATGCCGTTAGAGCAGGTGATCTTGTTTGGGGGTCGCTGTCTTGCTTGATGCCAAAAGGCACCATGTTCCTTTCGCCGAAGAAACTTCGGTTCCTCACCAAAGTTTACTCCGTATCCTAGCAAATATTTAACACATATACAGAGTATTAAATATAGACTAAAAAATAACTAATTATACAGTTTGTGAGTAATTTACGAGACGAATTTTTTAAGCCTAATTAATCCATGATTTTATAATGTGGTGCTACATTAACACATGTCCTAATAACAGATTAATTATGCTTAATAAATTAATATCACGGATTACTGACGGATTCTGTAATTTGTTTTTTTATTAGAATCCGAACACCTCGTGCGACACCCCTATGTGACATCCGATGTGACGCCTCAAAATTTTACACCCCAGATTTAAACCAGGCCTCACTGAAAATCACTACTGAAATAATACTGAAAAACAAGGCGAATAAGTACAGACAATCTTCCATCCGAAGGGACTCCAAAAGCTCGCTTCTCTGCGATCCGCCTACCACAACGGCGCGGCTGACCATGCCATCGCTACTCGCCCCAACCGGCTCCATTTCATGTGGTTCAGACCTGCCGTTGTTGGCCCCTTCTCCGTAGTACGCCGCTAGTGCCTACTCTCTGCCCCATTCCTCCTCCCTCCCCATCTATCTCTCTGCAGTCTTCATCCTTACCACCCGTAAAATCACATATAATCTATTTTTTTATGGATCCGCTACAAGTTTGTGCTTAAAATTTTAAGCACATATAACCCATTCTTAATCGATATATCGGTACTTTCACAAACCATCTTGCATTGTTGACTTATCTTCTGCAAATAATCTATTTTTGTTAGCTGGTGTTTTTTCATAAGAACCTCGCTTAAATTAAACTAGGAGCAACTGTGCTTGTATAGAGAAAATGAGACCCTAGTCTACATTGGAAAGAGCACTCTTTACTGGGCAAAATGTCTCGCGAGAAGAGCATGAACAAGAAACTGAGAAAGAAGAATTGCTAAGGGATCTCGCTTGGGAAGCTGAGTGAGCAGTTTTGTTGGAGCTTCTATGCACCTTGAAAATCTTGTGATAGATGAGAGCATTGAATTCAGTAGTCGCCAAAGGGTTGATCGTTCAATGTAGCAGCGGTTGATTCTGCTAAGAGTTGAAGTATTTGCAAGGATCTCATTGTCTGAGATGTACTTGACAAAGATCTTATTGACACAAAGGATTTATCTTAGTCTAAGCCCTACATTAACAGCAGTGTTCTTCTTTGTTAGAATGCTCAATCGTCTTCTTACAATCAAGAGAGAGGTGGTACGAGAGTGCTATGCTACTGATCTAGGGTTTGGTCTAAGGGTTGATAGCTCGATGTTCCATACCTTCTACAAGAGCTCATGCCCAACTTTATATACTGGAGGGCAATGAGAGTACAAGTTGCACATTATGGGTTTTTATGGTTTTGTGATCTGATCTTTGGTTGGTGGTGGCACCAGGCGTTGTCCCTCATCCCATGGTCGTGGCCGACAGTCTTCAACCATCTCTGATTTTTTTTGCTAGAGACTGGTGTTGTCCATCAGGCGCTGCCTACTGCCTTTGAACCTTCCCCGGCTTTGGCTTCTCTTGGCGTCCATCGCATACCAAGGCTTTGGCCCCACGGAGAGTGAGACAGCCAGGCAGGCCTAGATTCGCCTGCGTGGCGGGCGCGCTTTCGCCCTTTGTCATGTTGTGTCATGTCCTAGGCATGACCCTATCTTGGAAGTGTTCGACACAGCTTCGCAGGAGCGAGGGAACAAAGTTCCAACAGGGCCTGTGAAACGATCCCGATTTCCTTGAAGGGAAATCCACATATTCGAAATATAACGTGATAGTCACAGGTGATCATTCCATCACATTACCAAATAACAGTCGATATCACAGTCATATATCAAATACCTGTCTTAAAGAGAGTACAAATAGTAAGGTTTACTCATTATTACATTGCCACTTGGCGGAATCACTCAAAGCATGCAGTATCCGGAACAGCATCAAGTATGAAGGCAGCGGATGTCAACTCCATCTTCTCAACCAAACTTGAGCGGAGGAACGAGACCTCTAATCTGCCGAACCGTCTCCCTGATAGTCGTACTCGGACTCAGAACCTGTCAAACAATTATCAGTACGATTTGTACTGGCCACTGGCTCCCACCCTATGCTTTGCGTTTGCTTTGTGGTAGTGGAATGCAAGGATAGAGCAAAAGACCTATTTGTGACTGTAGTTTCGTATGCGAGTATGTCAAGTTTTAATAACAATTCATCAAGTTTTAACTCATCTCATCCACACATTCTTCCATCCCATCACACACATCTCACCACTCTCACACTCTCTAGGCGACAAGGACGACTCCTGCTTGTACCTTGCCTCATCGTCCAAGGTCGGAAACCAATGCAAGAACCCAGGGGGAGAGAAGAAAGGACTCCACTCACTAATCAAGGGAAGCGTAGGTCATAGGAATACCCATATCCGAGGACGCAGCTATACGTATAGATCGATCAACTTTACAAAGCATGTACACCTAGAACCATAAGATCACCATCATCGGTGGTGCCCTGCCTAGGCTGATACAGGGCTACCTTCCAACCGGTGCGATGCCACCCTACCACTCAGCCCTGGGCCACCCTGGAGTCCATCGAAACATTGAGACTGTGAGACGTAGTACCAGGTCCAGAGGTCACTACGCTATCTTAGGAGGGTGTGGGCCATACGCCCATACCTACCTACACTATCCACTTCCAACCTAGTAGTAGTGGCACCGTCCTAGCTGGTCAACAACCATTTAGGGACGTGTGGTGTGCACGTAGGGTTCTATGATCCGGTTCTCTCGACATACCAGTCCTTAGGGAGAACGGACAAGATATCTTCTCAAAGGGGATAACCAACATCCTGTGCCTCAACGGCACCTCCATCCCGGGGCTTCATCCCACAAAGACACTCCACCCCGGGATCTCCTCATCTCACATGCACCCGCCACAGGTACCACTCGTAGGGGATGCCTAGGTCACACCCCCTAGCAAGACTCGTCCAACAACTCATCGTAAGATCCTGCCCAATCGACTCAACCCTCACCACACAACCAAAATGCACTCTAAGATCTCCCTAGTTGTTACCACATTACCGGCACCCAGTGCCTTAACCACTTACGTACAATCCTCCACCAAGCATCACATCATAGATATGATGCGTAGTAGAAGTAGTAGCAAGTAAGTAAGCGAGCATCTAACCTAACAGCGGGTGTGCAGGGGTATAGGTTGCGACAAGGTAATGGCTCACAAGCAATTCTACCATACAACCTATCACAGATCATTTGCATAAAAGTAAAGCACTAGAATCTACATTGTAGCATGTCTAATAGGATTCTATGAGGTTGGGTGGGACGTGGCACCTGGCAGGTCATCTCCAAGCTCCTCAGTGTAGTCGGGGTCGTGCTCAGTCTATGGCTTCTCCAGGTCTGTCAAACGAGACATATGGCAGTGATAAGCGACTCCTATAGATGTTCACAAAGAAGCAATAGAAATTCAAAAGATCCAAATGCACTCAAACACAAGTCTATGACGTAGAGCTTTTTTTTAGAAAAATTTGGGCATTGGTTTTATATTTTTCTGAGGTCATATGAATTTTCTAAGTTTAAATCATTTTCTGAAAAAGAAAAGAAATGGATAATTCTGGTGCTGACACGTGGCGGCTTCCGATTGGGCAAGGCGGATCCCGTCGCTGATAGGTGGGGCCAGGTCAACGGTCAGCGTTGACCCATCAACGGTCAACGTTGACTGGGCTCAGTTGTAACACCTCTGGTGTTTTGACCTAGCATTAAAACTTGACATGTCATCATATGCATTGCAAAGCATTCATAAAGTAGGAAATTTTGAATGCATTCACTAAATAAGCTTTATTTCATAGTTGTTATTTTATGTGTTGAAATGTGATTCAAAACTCTGAATGAAAATCATGACCACAAGGGTCAAAATTCATGTGATCATGTGAGACCATGTGTCATTTGACCCAAATAACCCTAATGGGCCATGTTACTGGTCAAAAATCAAAGTTAAGTAAAAAGGTAAACAAATCAAATTTGAATTCAAATTCCAATTATAAAAGTCCTTTTTGCCCCTTTTGTCTATTTCAAAATCCATTTGGAATTTGGGGGTGTGACAAAAAGCAAAGTTGAAGCTTATTTTATAAGGATCAACTTTGGTATACAAAGTTTTTAAAGTTTACATATAAAATTTGGAGTAATTTTAAAATGATTCAAATGCTCAAATGTACCCCAAATTCAAATTTAAAAATGGAGACATAATTTGAAAATGTTCACTTAAGCAAAGTTGTAGAGTTTGAAAAGTTGAGCAACTTTCATTTTTGGAGATTTTCAACTTCTTTAGAAATTTTGGGAGTAATTTGTAAAATGAACTCAGTGACAATTCTATAATTTTGGGTGAATAGTACACGGTCACCGCCCCACCGCCGGCATCCTTTCTCTGGCCTTCCAGCGCGCCTGTGGCCGCCCTCGGCTTTGTGCTGGCACGAGCGGCTCACTGCGTGTCACCCCCTCACTCATCTGGCCGCGCTATAAAGCCCCGACAACATTATCTGCTTTTCTTCCTCTCCTCTGTTTCCCGACGCCGCCGCCTCAGCTCTAGCGAGCTCTCCTCGCCTCCTCAGCGCAAGTTAGCCCTAGAAAAGCAGTGTCTCAGTTTCGCCTGCTCCTTGCGCCTCCAACCGACCTATTGCTACCACTTGATTTTGCCGAAAACTCGCTGTCTACGTTCTTCTTCCTCACGGCCGACGACCTCGACCGAAACTCCGTTTCACCGCGGCCAGCATCATCCGGTGAGCTGTTGCCCTTGCTTGTGGTCTCTACAGCTTTGTC